AAAAAAAAAAAAAAAAAAAAAAAAAAAAAGGGGGGGGGGGGGGGGGGGGGGGAAGAAGACACAACAATTACAAACAAACAAACAAATCTAGGAATACTTCAGTAAAAAAAAGTAGCACACTTACGTTTTATCCTGCAGAACCTGACAGACTTTCTTTAGCTCTTCGACTTGTTGTTCCCAAAATCTTATTGAGGAATGTAGTTGTGCTAACTCTAAATTGTGATCACTAAGAACCTATTGAAAATTTAACAAAAATATGGCATCCAGTCATCACCAAATGATTCATACCAGCAGTTCAATTCCACTAAATTCTCCTGGAAAAGTCATAAATGATTCATAATTCATGAATCACTCATTCAGTTTTTACATTGGGGGTATCTTTTAGTGAAAAAAAGAATAATTATTATAATTGTTTCTTCATAAAATAAACTTGGATAGAAATATTTTTGAAATCATTAGGAAAAATCCACATTTTTTTGTTGGGAGAGAGACCTATATTTATAACAGTGAGAATCTGAAAACCATGAAAAAAAACTTTAAAGATAAGAATTCATTTGGTCTAAAATTTTTAAAAAATTAAACATCATTAAACATGTCATAATAATCTTCAAAGTATTATGCCAGTATACTACAATGAGTATTATAAAAAAAGTCAAAACAAATCGGATCTTTTGCATTGATTGATAGCTATGTTCATGCTGAAAAGAATTTTTCTTTCTTAACACTTAATCCATATTTAGGAAATGGAACAACTGGAGACTGTGAAAAAATATTAGTATGATTTAAAAGAAGGAAAAAGCAATGGAGAAAATTCAGAGTGAAACAGATAGTTTTGCAATGCAGTTTCTTTGGGATAAAGAAAAGGGAAGTCAAAATTATTGAGCCTGGGGTTTGTGTTTCAGCTTGTAAGGGAGACTGGAGCTGAGAGAAGGCTGATTAGACAAATTCCTCTTCTCCCTGACATAGAGTTACCATGGATAGATAACTTAATGCCATCAATGTGGGGTTAGAGGAACACCTGTGGGGGCCATAAAGGTGCTCTCAGCCATGCCAGGCAAGGTTGGTGGATGAAAGCTACTCCAAAGGGTTTCTTTCTCCAGAGAACGAACTTCTGGACTATCGCTACTTCCAGAGTTAACAGGGGTCTGAAATCCTACAAGTGCCAACACAATGAGCAGAATGTTAAATGGCCTCTGATCTGTCATCACGATTAGGGTGATATGCTGAAGGCCTGCTAGACCTGACGTCTGCTCTCTCTAGCTCTCAGTCCTCCCTGCCCTGAACATGCAGGCCACCTTGAGAAACTCACACCTTTATCCTTTTCTGCCAACATCACGTCAGCTTGACCTGGCTGCAGAGACTTCCAAAGTAAAGGTACCACATGAAGGTTCATCTGAAATTCCCTGTGGTCTCAGTCCATAGCCAGGTGTTTTCTAATCCAGCCAACAACAACAGCAACAACAACAGCAAACTTTACTAAATACAAAGCATTGAGCTAAAAGCCTTCTAGGCATGATCTCATTTAATCTCCACAAAAACCTTTTGCAGTAGGCAATATTAGTACCTCCATTTTATAGGTCAGGAAACTTCAGGCTGATGGAGCCAAGATTTGAAGTCAGGTCTGTGTGACACTCAAGTTTGTGTTTTAAACACTAATCTCTACTGATGGGGATGGGGTGGATAGGCTGTTTTACAGGAGATGAAGAAGAAACTGGAGGTGAGTGTATGTCTGCCACCTTCAAGCCTATCTAATTTGGCCTTAGAGATCTTTGGAGTACAAGTTAAGAATCTTATACTTAATTTTCCCAAGTTAAATTGGTGGGGTGCTAGATTTATGGTTTATGAGGCCATAACTGGAGATATGAGCTTGGGCATGCAGATAAAACCTGCTGTATATATCTGTATTCTCCTCTAAGCCTAGTTTTACCTATGCTTCCTGCTATGGTCTGAATGTTTGTCTCCTCCAAAACTCATGTTGGAACTTAATGCCCAATATATTATTTGAAAGTTGGGGCCTTTAAGAGGTGATTGGATTGTGAGGACTGTGCCCTCATGAATGGCTTAATCCATTCATGGATTCATGGGCTAATGGTTTAACAGGCTATTGGGGACTAGACTGGGGTCTTTATAAGGAGAGGAAGAAAGCATGTGGGAGTGTGCTTTTGCTCAGCCCTTGCCATGTGATACGCTGCATTGGCCTGTGACTCTGTCCAGAGTCCCCACCAAGAACAAGGCCCTCACCAGATGTGCTCCCTGGACGTTGGACTTCCCAGCTTCCAAAACTGTAAGAAATAAATTTTATTTCCTTACACATTAGCCAGTTTCAGGTATTCTGTTATAAGCAACAGAAAACTGACTAATACACTTCCTATGTTGAAATTTTAAAACAGATAAGGATCTTTTTAAATGCACATATTTGGAAGAAAATTTTGATTTTACTAATGTTTTGTAATTGGATATCATAATAGATATATTGTAATTAAAATTAGCAGCACCACCCCACATAAAGTATAATGAAATTAATGGACCATTCTGATAGGAAATGTGATGTTTCAGCACTACTGCTGCACTACTATAGTTTTGCATGTGATTTTTCAATACACATAGAAGAAATACACTAAAGGCTCATTAATTCAACTAGTTGTGACAGAATATTAACAGGCAATTCTGTTTCAATTAACATAGAAGTAGTATTAACATTAACAACTTCAATTATCATCACCTCCATAAGCTTTAGTCTTCTCATCTTTAAAATGAGAGTAATCCCCACAAAATATTTATCACAGTGCTGGCTTTCAATAAATGTTATCAATCTTCTTTAATAGAATTGCAAAGCTCTGACATATGTTCTAATTTAAATAGGCAAGTCGTCCTTTCCATATCAGTGTTGCTATATCCAATATTAATAAAGAGCCTAAACTCTGTTCTATTATCCTACATTCAGATTTAAGAAATCAGCTCGTGGTTACTCATTTTGTTATGTGAAATAAAGCAATCTCATGGAAAAGTCATATATACATCAACGTGTTTGCTTAGTTCTGTACGTATTTTTTTTGATCAACGTTTCCGCAGTATTTTCACCCATCAAAGGCAGTTTTATCTAAGGCATTCCAAACTTCCTTCTTCCCATCATATTCCTGAAGAAGAAAGCACAGTTGCACCATAACACTTTACGAAAGTGTCAGAAAATATTAACATGAGAAACACATTCTCCCAGAATGGCGTGAAAATGACTTAAAATCAACCCCTTTTTTACTGAGGTGCCTACGTCAGGCTTGAAAATATGTAGTTTATTCTTTCTTACCGCTGTGCTGGTACTAACTGTTTCTTTGAGTTTTTCCATCCTTGTTTGTAATTTATCCAATTCTTTCTTCATCTTATAAGTCTCCTTTCTCTTAAGTTCACAGATTCTTTTAAATTCATCAATCTATAATGACAAACATAATAAACCAATAAAAAGCCTATTAGCACAACAAAGTTAAGAAATTCTAATCTTTTTTTAAGTTGTCAACCTAATTTATTTTCAATCTAAGTATACCAAGTAAAAACAAAACAAAACAAAACCAGAGTTTGCTTATTTTTCAGTTTCACAGGAAAAATGGTGAGCCACAAGGGCCAATCTGTAATTATAAAATACTGAAATTGTAAATTTATAAGAGAGATAGTAACAATAATCAACAAATTATAAAAGCAATTGCCATTGTAGTGACATACAATGGTTACGAGATTTACAGTGCTAAGCAGATAAGAAGAATCAAAGGAAGGAGTAAAGAATTATCTGGGAACCTAAATTCACATTATTTAGTAGGAAATAAAATGGACTAAAGATAGAGTAAATAAAATTATTGAAGACAGGGCAGTTTATAATCCTGGACATCTGCTGGCCATTTTACCAAGATCAAACATTCTGATCACCTGTCAGACCCTAATAAAAGTCACCCTCTTACCAAAACCAAACATATAATGGATTTGTCTGCAAAATAAATTATTGAGAAAAAGGTAATTAATTAATAAGGCCCAATAAAGCATATTCAACTCTGTATGAAAGAGCCATGAGAACATATGTCTGGGTGGCTTTCCATTAAAGCCACCAGTTGCTTCACCTGCAGTGTCTACTCTGAATGAATGTGATCATTATCAATTATCTCTGCACCAAAGCATAGATGCATAGGAATGAAACTTTGTAATTAATAACTTCGTTGAAAATTGGAAATTTGTGTTTATACTTAGGCTTAAGCCTTCTCCCAGGATCTTGCAATTAGAGAAATAATAAGGGCAAACAGTATTTTGCTTTGTGTTAGGGTTTGAAGACTCTCTGACACCAGTAATAAGTTTTCCTTTCTCATAGGAAGTAGAAGGCTGTGACCACAGCAAATCGTGTGTCTTTAATGAACAGTGGTGGATTCTTTTATATCTCTCCACCTCAGTTGCTCTAAGGCACTGGCACATGGCATTAGGATTAGGATAAGGAATTAGGATTCTTTGCTGTTCCAGGAGTGGACACTGTCTTAATTTGGCCTAATTGAACACAGAGAAGGAAAACTACGGCCCTTGGTTAGGGAAAGTTTTTCCTCTTTCTACTTAAATAAGGAAACACATAGTCAAGTAGTCACTGGCAGCCATCTCGTGACCATGAGGGCAACCAGCCTTAGGAAGAAGACTGTGGGAGCGGAGGGACGAGCAACTGTGTTAAAACTAGTCCTAGAGACAGCCCTACCTTGGGAATTCCTACTGTGTGAGATGATCAGTGCCCTTGCTGTTTAAGCCAGCTTGAGTCAGGGCATCTGCTATTTGCATCTAAAAGCATTCTTACTAGTGCCCCCTTCCAGGAAGATAGACCAGGGATAGGCAAACAACTTCCCTTGGTCCAAACCCAACCCCTACCTGTTTATGGAAAGCCACTCTCAATCATCAAGGTATTGTTCATGGCTGTTTTCCTGCTCCCTTCCAGGAAGATAGACCAGGGATAGGCAAACAACTTCCCGTGGTCCAAACCCAACCACTACCTGTTTATGGAAAGCCACTCTCAATCATCAAGGTATTGTTCATGGCTGTTTTCCTGCTAAAATGGCAGAGTTGTTGTGACAGAGGCTGTATGCTCTGAAATATTTACTATAAGACCTTTTCAGAAAAAGTTGTGAGCCTCTGAGAAAGACTATTCATATAGCTATAAGGGAGAAGAACCTGTCATGTCTGCAGTTTCCCCATATGAAGCCCTCGTGTAGGTTTCCTTTCTTGCATTTTAAAGTTTATATTAAAGAATAGGAAGGGGGGGGAAAGCTTCTCTGTAGGGCTTAAAGTAAAATTAGAAACTCATTCATTCAATAAAGTAATATTATAGCATGTGATAATATTACTATTAATATTAACTGATATTAGCTGGTATTAGCAGTAAGTGTTTGAGGTATGCAGGCACTATTCTTGGTGCTAGAAGACAACAGTGAATAAAACAGACAAAATTCCTGCCTTGTGGAGCTTACCTTCTGGGGGCAAAGCTTAGATTGAATACCACCCCTGGCCAGCTGTTTTGGTCACAGGAGAAGTAAAAAGGGATAAGGTCCCCCACCCCTACTTCTCCACCACCACGGAAGTCCTTACGCAGTTGTGCCCACACAGACACAGCCCACTCTTTGCCCCTGTAGCTTGTGAGCTTGGGGTTCTGGACTGCTCAGAGAGAACAGAATCCCGCTGTCAGCAGAGGGCTGGAAACAGTGGAGGTAATACAAATGCTGCTAAGCATCGCTGTGGTAGGGAATAAAACCAGTAAAAGCCCTTCTGATCTTTGTTGCCCTGAAATATCCATTTCATTTTGATAACAACAAATCCAAGTAAGGTTTAGCCCTGTGAGAGGAGCCGCATGCTATTTCTGAGACATAGATTTCAGTTGACTCAAGCACTGCAGCCCTAACTGCTAACTGTTGGCTTCAACCCCAGAAAAGGACCTCGGGAGAAAATTCTGTTCAGCAGCTGCAGACTGCCCGAGGGACTCTGCTATGGTCCGAATGTGTCCCCAAAATTCGTATGTTGAAGCTTAATTGCTAATGTGATAGTATTAAGGGGTAGGGCCTTTAGGAGGTGGTTAAGTCATGAGGACAGAGACCAGACTCATTAACGGGATTAGCAACCTTATAAAAAAGACTGGAGGGAATTTGCTAGGCCCTTTTTTGCCTTCCTCCAAGTGAGGACTCAGCATTCGTCCCCACCCGAGGACGCAACGTTCAAGGATCCATCTTGGAAGCAGAGACTGGCCCCTCACCAGACACTGAACCTGGCACCTGATCTGGGACTTCCTCGCCTCCAGAACTATCAGAAATAAATTTCTGCTATTTACCCAGCTTCAGGTGTTTTGTTACAGCAGCATAAATGAACTAAGATAGACTCCTTGCCGGCTACTTCATAAGATTCCTGTTACAAAGGTGACCAGGGCTGGCCTCTCTGTTCTCAGGGAGAGCAGTGCAGAGTTTTAGGGCAAAGCTATGTCTGAAGACGCAGGCACTTTCAAGGATAAAGAAGCTCAGACCTGACTGGCATTTCCAAACAGCCTAAATCTTAACATGGAATCAATTGCCATAAGAATCAAAAACAATCATTGCCAGGTTTTATTGCTTTAAATTTTAATGAAGACTCAAGAAAAGCAATTTAATTAACGTTCTTTCCTCTCTTCCTTCGTTTCTTCCTTCTTTTCCCTCCCTCGCTCCTGTAATCCCTCCCTTCCTTTCTGTTTAATACAGCAGTGTCATAAGCCCAAGTCCAATTTCCTGCATTATAACCTGAGGTTATTCCCCTTCCCATCACGGAGCTGGCAGCACCAGGAGCTCACCAGCAAGTCTCATCACCAGCCAGGCTCCCCCCCTGCAGAGGGAGAAAGAAGTCTCTGCTGGGAACAGCTCATATGGAGACAGCCCTCCCTCTCCTGCAGCAACCAGAAGCAGGACAAGGAAGAAGTTATTATAAGCCATCCGATGATGAATTGTAATTAACGTGGCATGGAAGATAGTCCAGCCCCTACAGGGGCAGAAAACGATGCAGTAGTTATCCCTGGCTTACCCTCACAAAATTGCTGGTCTCAAAACATGTTTTCTCTTTAGGACCCTTGGCTCTGCTCAGACCCTCTGTAGGTGGCTCCTCTCTCAGAGTCATTCGTCAGGAGCAGCAGGCACGGGCAGGCTCCCTGTATGAACTCCCTGGTCCTGTCTGTACAGACACAGCCTCAGGACCGTCAAAGGCAACCAGATGAGATGGTGGCAAACTCCTTGCCCCTATGTGGCTGCATATAAGCAAGGGGCCACCCCAGTATTACAAATCCTGTTACTTATATCCTTTCCCATGAACTGAGATGCTGCTTACACAATCAAATGTCTTCTCCAAGATGCTCCAAGTGTCCTTGAGTCTCCGCCTTTATTCCCATTCCAATGCTCACAGGAAATACCATGGACAGTGCTTCTCAGCCCTGAGGACAAATCATTCCCCATTTCTGCCCCAGACACTATAAGGTTCTGTTGTCATGCCACTTACCTGTGCAGTTAATTGTTGTTTTCTTATCAGATATTCTGTTCTTTCTTTTTCCATTTGTTCTTCTGCCTCTGTAATATATTTCTTTTGCGATTCGATTTCCTCTCTCTCCAAGTTGATTTTGGTGTAAGTCTCATTGATGTAGACAGTGGTAGCGGCTTTTTCTCCCATGGTGTGGTTGAGCAACAGCACAAACCTTGCATGCTGCTTCGCTAGCTCTTCTTGCTTCTTACTAGGAGGAAAGATTGCTCTGGCATGAAAAGTATGGCTCTTAGGAAAGGAATTCAAAGCCTGTCTGGTGGGGTGAGTGCTCATAAAGAGGGAAATTGTAAGGGATACTTATTTATACTTGTGTCTGTGGTTGTCTAAAGGTGGTTAAGATGAGGATGAAAGGACACATAAAACAAGCATCAACCTTGCAGCTGTTTATTGCTGCAAAAAATGTCACATGGCCCTCCCCATGAGAGGTAGTAACAATAGGTTATTTTGGTTAAAAGCATAGCATAATTCAAAAGTGGTTCCGAACAGCTAAATGGGATCTGGCCAGATGAATGTTTTGATATGTATCATCCTGAGATGTGTAGCTAAGCCAAAGAGAGATAACCATCCCACCAATCTCCAGCCGCCCTCTGATGCTGTAACCCTGCAGGGAGGGCCCAAGAGAAAGCTAGTCTTCCTCTGGGCAGAAATGAGAGAATAACAGTAAAGTTCATCTTTACTGTTCAATGGATGCTTGAAACCCAATTTGAACCCTCTTATCTTCTCTGGTTCAAGAGGAGTCATTAACCTCACATACACATTGCTACCACATCCACCTGAGGAAGGCCTTAAGACTGGGAGAAACATAAATAAAATAAAGTAAAATTTTATTGCTAACAATAAAAGATTTGAAGGAGGGAAAATCAGTGCCATTTCTCTCTTTTCCTTTTTAAAAGCTTCTTCAATGTAAACCTTTTTCTTTTTTCCAGTCCCCAGGTTGGACACTTTATCTAGGGACTGGGGAGCCTCAAGAAAGCAAAGCAAAGAAAACCCAAACAAGTGAGACCAAAACACCTAAGGAGCTGTGCTGTGGTGGGTCGGAAAGAGAGTACTCACAAGCTGAGTGTGGATCTTAAGGAAAACACCCCCTAAGAGCTGCGTGTATCTAGCTTTTGAGGATAGTTTAGGAGAGGAGATATGTTCACCACCTATCAGAGGGTGTGGGCACCTTGCTATGCATCTTTCTTTGAAAAGTGGATGACAATGCTGTAGCTTGCCAAGCCACCACTGCTGTTCATAATTTGCCTTTCCATAACGATTTGTCTGTAGCAGTGACTCTCCAAGTGTGGTCAGGACCAGCAGTACCAGCAGCACCTGGGAACTTGTTAGGAACGCACCCCCCACCTTGCCATCTCCGGACCCACTAAACCAGAAATTCCAGAGGCGGGTCCCAGTAATTTGTGTTTTCACAAAACCTCCATGTGATTCTGATGCATGCTCAAGTTTGAGAATTGCTGGTCTATATGGATGTGATATTGATGACCAGTTCATATTGAATATCCAGGCTGGGTATTATTTTTCCTGGTACTAGTTTAGAAATAGACAGTCTAGTTATAGAGCAGTGTCTGGTGAGTGTGGCTAGCATGAACCATGCACAAATCTGCATTGTGGGTCCCCAGCAGGAGTCAGAGCACACAGCGTTTCTCAAACGTATGTGATCATGAACTTTCTTTTTCATGAAACATCTCCCAGGACAGGTGTTTTGAAGGCCTGGTTTGGGAAATGTGTCTCTGGGCCTTGAGGTCTCCGCCTGATTCCTGATGCTTTGATATCTTGTGCACCAAGCATCCCTCTGATTATTTTAGCTTCCCAAGAAGATTTTTTTCCCTATGATGAAGACTCTTTGAACATTTCTCATTCTGGAAAACCAACATTCTATTTATGCATTAGTCTTGCAGATTTGCTCACAGCACTGAGTTATTCTTCAAGGGTTTTGTTGGTTTTTGTCTTTAAGACTGTATCTCTTCCTCTCATAAGCTGGGTGAGTCGAGAGTTGTGATCCCCACTCTACGCATGGAGAAAATGAGACCCATGGGTAAAATGCTGGTCTGAGGCAACACAGCTCAAAGATAAGGGAAAGAAAACTAACAGGTGTCAGATCTGGAGCTATAGGCAGTTATATATGTTGTCTCATTTAATTACAGATAAAATCTAGAACTGTCTCCTGGGAAGTAACCCCATTTTCAGCCTTCTAGTAAATGATAAGTATGACTGAATATTTTTAAGGAATTGAATTAGATACAGTAGATATGGTTTGATAATAGATTTACAGTACAATCCTAGCAAGATTTCTTTCTTGTGGTGGGGGTTTGTGAACTTAATTCTACAAAAATGGAAACCAAAGCCACTGTGTGCCTCTGCCTTTAGAGGTAACATTGAAGGTAGTGTGTGATTTACAGAGAAACAGCAGTTGCTGTGGGGAAGCTGGATTGCCTCCAAAATTTTGCAGGTCTCCTGGCTGCAGGGATTGAAGATTTCCCACTCTCCTCTTTAGCTCTCTGCAGCATCGCACCCCTGCCCCCATCAGCCTGGGTCATCTTCTGCAACGGATCTCCACCTCTAACTTGCCCTGCCCCAGTTCAGCTCAGAGGGCAAACCCCTGACGACAATTCCCCACTCTAACCCAGACCTCCACTCCAAGTACTGAGTGAAAAAATACCTACCCCAGAGCTTCGTTAGTTTCTTTCAGATCAATTATTCTCTTCTTCAGAAACTCTATTTCATTATCCATTTCTGTAATTCTCATTAGTATTTTTTTTATCTCAAAAAGATTTAATCTGCAAGCATCTCTGACACATTCTTAAAAGTAAGTGGAAATGTTACTAAATTAGTTGAGAAAGAGCACAATTGTAGATACTTTTCAAATCATGACAAAATTGTCTTTCTTTTAGGTATTCTTTTAATTATGTTTCTGTATCAGATACCTCTTACTTACCCTTTTGGTCCTTGTCAATCTTATTTATTAATTATTTCTCTTATTTCTGCAGATGCTATTGTGACCAGCTTTCTACGGGTGCTGAACAACTTCAGACAGGTGCAGGCTGACAGCACCTGATTCCTGCCTGTTCCATGCGCTTCTCACCTCTTGCATAGGACTTCCGTCACCTCTACTGTGGAACTTCTTTAGACACACACCCATACATGCGTAACCTGGAAGTGCAGGAGGTGGGGCAAACACCGGGCCAATAACAGACAGGAGCCAGTGCATAAATATTTACCCCTTTCTCACACTGGTGGATGGTCCCGAGAAGAGGTAACACTGTGTCTTGGGGCATAGTCTCATAATTAATTAGTTGCAGTTAGCAGCAGCCAACATCATAGTGCATTCCATATTGGCTGTTTCCCCTCCTCTGGGTCTCCTTATCCCACCTTCCTCTTTGGATTGCACTCCCTAATAAAATAATAGGGCAAAAGACACTGCCTCGGGCTCTGCTTTCTGGGGAACATAATGTATTAAAGAACTAATTATTGACTGATAAATAACAAATCAGTGTAATCACATAAGACTTCAGAGGATTACCTCAGTGCATGACTTGGTCAATATGCATGAATTTTTTAACACAGCTATTTAGAAAAGTGCTGATCTCCCCATTTATACACAAGAAATTCTCCAGAAACTAGCTGGTAGCTCTCCTAGGAGAGAGAGCTAAGCTACTTTTGTTTTTTCTAGTTTTTTTTTTCTAGGTTACTAGTTAAGTTGTTCTTTGTAGCAGAGCTTCTCAAACTTTGTTTCTCAAATATGCATATACAACACTGGGGTTCTTGTTAAAATGCACATTCCGATACAATGGGTCTGGGGTTGGCCCAGAGATTCTGCATTTTCTAACAAGCTCTCAGATGCTGCTCATGCTGCTGGTCCAAAGTCCACACTTTGAGTAGCAAGGTTTTATGACATAAGATCAATTAAATTTTCTTGGTTATGTATTCAGCATATATCAAGGACCTCATAAGCTAATATGATTTTTTTCCTTCTAAAATATCTTTTCTGATTATAAAGTAATTCAATCTGAAAAATAAAGAAAAGCAACCAAAGAATATAAAACAAAAACACTCATTATTTTACCTTTGGAGCAGATTCTTCTAAGTCTTATCTTTTGTCTGCACATATAGTTTGTTGTCTTTTCCCCAGACTAGCCAAACTAGACTAACACCAAGCATAATGCATTATAACCTACTGTATCAGTATGGCAAAAGAAACAGGGAAAGTTTACTCTAAAGAATTATTCATTACAACAGAGGATTCGAGTAATGAGGGAATGGTTAGTAAGGAGGAAAGAGAACTCCAAAGAATTGAAGAAGAGCAAGCATAAAAAGCAGACACTCTCCCAGGGCTGAGACAGAATGCTCAAGGCAGCAGCACCTCCAGATCTGAGAGCTAGATCTCACTGGAGAGGCAAAGAAGACCTCACTGAATGGCAAAGAAGTTCATGAAATGCTGGACTGGTGGAATTTGCTGGAAATTGGCTCTCTGGAGTGTTGGGGGAACCTGTCCACGGGGAGGAGCTAAACTTCAGAACTCACAGCAAAACTACCCCAGGGGGTACCAGGGAAGCTCTTCATGAAGAGGTGCCTCGTTGGAAGCACTCCACCTTGAAGCTAACCAGGAGGTACTGGGGGAAGCTGCTGGGCACTGCAGATCCCGGGATGCTGCAGGATCCTGGCATGGAGAAGCCAGGTGCACTGCAAGAGTCTGCCAAGCTGAGCACACCGGAACCAGGAACAGAGCCACTTCCTCCTCTGCTATCCCTCCAGAGCCCTCTATGACAAAGCTTAACACTGTGCCAGCTGGTAAAGGGAAAAATTTACAGGGTCCAGCTCCCTTATCACAGATCGGACAACAAAGTGTAGATTTAGAGCTGAAGGCAATAAATGAGTACCTGGAACACTAACAAAAAAAAAAAAAAAGTTTTTTATGTACCAAGACTACTCTTTTAGGTTGTGGTCCCTGGGAAACAGATTCTAAAATTTGTGTGTAGAAAATGTATTGTGTAGTGCTCTTGGGAATATCTCCTTTGAGGAAATAAAGGAAGCAGATCTGGGTGTGTGGGGGGGTGGAGTGGGGAGGGGTTAAACCGTGATGAACTTTGGAGCTGTGATGATACTTCAGAGTTGTTCTACATTGATGCAAGGGACCCAGGCCTTTGTACCCTCACAGTGACCAATTACTGAGCATGGGTGGCACCTGGGGTGAAGCCTCTCTTTTCTGCAGAGGGCAATCAATTCCTGGCAAGAACTCAGCTGTGAACCTCAGCCAAAACTCCTGGCAGCTGCGGAAATGAATTGGATCCACACCTTACACAAAATACAAAATTTAACTCAAAATGGATCAAAAACCTAAATGTAAGAGCTAACATTATAAAAGTCTTAGAACAAAACATAAGGGAAAGATTTATGACATTGGATGTGGCAATGATTTCTTGGATATGATACCAAAATCACAGGCAACCACCACAACAAAAACAGATAGATTAGATTATATCAAAATTAAAAACTCTTGTGCATCAAAGGTCACTATTAGAGTGAAGGCAACCCATCAAATGAGAGAAAATATTTGCAAATTATATATCTAATAAGGGGTTAACATCCAGAATACACAAAGAACTCCTACACACAACAACAACAACAAAACCAACCTGATTAAAAAATGGGCAAAGGCCCTGAGTAGACATTTCTCCAAAGAAGATCTACCAATGGCCAGTAAGCAAATGAAAAGATGTTCAACATCACTAGTCATTGAGGAAATGCAAATCAAAACCACAGCAAGAGACTACTTCACACCCATTAGTGTGGCTATCAGAAAAAACAAAACAGCCCAGAAAATAAAGAGTATTGGCAAGGACATGGAGAAATTGGAACCTCTGTGCACTGCTGGTGGCAATTTTAAATGGTGCTGCCACTGTGGAAAATGGTATGGTGCATCTTCAAAAAAAAGTGAATGTAGAATTACCATACCATCCAGCAATTCTACTGCTGCATATATATCCAAAAGAATTAAAAGCAGGACCTCAAATAGATATTTAGATACTCATGTTCATAACAGCATTATTCACAATGGCCAAAAGGTGGAAGCAACCCAAATGTCCACCAGTGGATGAATGGATAAACAAAATATGGCACTGTATATACAGACAATGGAATATTATTCCTCCTTAAGAAGGAAGAAACTTTTGACACATGGTACAATATGAATGAAACTTGAAGACATGACACTAAGTGAAATAAGCTAGTCACAAAAGGACAAATATAGTACCACTTATATGAGGTACCTAGAGTAGCCAAACTTATAGAGACAGAAAGTAGAATGGTGGCTTAGGCCAGCCAACCTGCCTAATTTAACTGGATAACTATCAATTTGGAATGGTATGATCCATATATCTTTAGTTTATTTAGAAACTAAATTATATAAATTTAAGTTTTATATATAGCATTTTCACTTAAAATGTAAAGGAAAATTAAGGATCTTATTGTGGTTGTGTCATGTACTCTAGAAAGGTTGTTTCATGTACTCTAGCTGTATTTACACAAGCAATAACTATTAAACTCATCTTGTTAATAGTACTTGGTTCTATTCTCTTATAAGATAAACTAAATTTCTACAGTTGATAACCTCAAAAGTACCTTCCAATTCCCTGTAAATGCTACTGGGAAGAGTTTCCAATAGATGGTATAGTCTGCTGAATTCAATGCTTTCAATTTCCAGAAGATCAATTGTGGCTTTTCTCATTTCTTCCTGAAAATATAAATTACATTTTTAAAAAGTTAATATCCTAAAATACTCAGACTGATTTCCTACACAATGCTCTATAAATGTTTTCAGGGGTAAAAATTTACTTTTTATTAAACATTTTCTGCTTTCATTTTTATTTGGAACAGAAAGTGGGGAAAGTATCTACGATCAGTTTTTAAGATGTCATTGTTAATTAATCTTTTAATTTCTGCTTATTTTCTGCCTCTCAAAAATCATCTCTTCCCTATGTGTACCTGTTTTTTGTATGCAGTTTCAATGAATTTAAAAGGAAAGATGCCAACAAATAGGATAACATTGAGAAAGAAAGCTACTTATTAAAAAATGGAAATTGCCTACAAAAATACGCTTAGGTATAAAGAGAAAAATGGTTCCCTTATACATACCTACAAATACAAACAAATAGTCATGTGAGGCTGTTATTATTATTTTCTTAGGTGGGACTACATTAAAAAAGGAAAAACCATTCAAAAATCAGTTGTGGGGAAAAAAGGATAAATCATCTTTTAAATAAATGGTCATAATGGCTCTAGCTATTTTACAACCTGAGAAATTGCCGTTATATTTTATGAATTAAAAAAAGCAGTCTACACAATTGAATATATAGCATGAACAGTTTTCTTAAAAACTTAAAATTCAAGGCAGGCATTACATATACCCTAAAAGTAGAAAGAATATTCACCAAAGAGTTCATTGTGATTATTTTAGGGTGGTGGGATCATGATGATTTCTACTTTCTTCTTTTTGCTTATTTACTTTTTTCTAAATTTCCCAGAGTAAACATGTACTACTTTTATAATAGTGAAAATTCATTACTTTAAAAAATGGAGAGATTTATCTCTGTTTCTTAAGAGATTTCACAGCTCAGATACTAAGTAGTTACATACTGGATACTTTAATTAGCCACAATAAATATTTTGGCCCCTTCAAACCCTGGAGAAAAACATAACTAAAAGAACCAAGCAGGGGAGAAGGTTTTCGCTGGACCACAGTGCAGCACAACACACATGGAATGTAGAATTACCATACCATCCAGCAATTCTACTGCTGCATATATATCCAAAAGAATTAAAAGCAGGACCTCAAATAGATATTTAGATACTCATGTTCATAACAGCATTATTCACAATGGCCAAAAGGTGGAAGCAACCCAAATGTCCACCAGTGGATGAATGGATAAACAAAATATGGCACTGTATATACAGACAATGGAATATTATTCCTCCTTAAGAAGGAAGAAACTTTTGACACATGGTACAATATGAATGAAACTTGAAGACATGACACTAAGTGAAATAAGCTAGTCACAAAAGGACAAATATAGTACCACTTATATGAGGTACCTAGAGTAGACAAACTTATAGAGACAGAAAGTAGAATGGTGGCTTAGGCCAGCCAACCTGCCTAATTTAACTGGATAACTATCAATTTGGAATGGTATGATCCATATATCTTTAGTTTATTTAGAAACTAAATTATATAAATTTAAGTTTTATATATAGCATTTTCACTTAAAATGTAAAGGAAAATTAAGGATCTTATTGTGGTTGTGTCATGTACTCTAGAAAGGTTGTTTCATGTACTCTAGCTGTATTTACACAAGCAATAACTATTAAACTCATCTTGTTAATAGTACTTGGTTCTATTCTCTTATAAGATAAACTAAATTTCTACAGTTGATAACCTCAAAAGTACCTTCCAATTCCCTGTAAATGCTACTGGGAAGAGTTTCCAATAGATGGTATAGTCTGCTGAATTCAATGCTTTCAATTTCCAGAAGATCAATTGTGGCTTTTCTCATTTCTTCCTGAAAATATAAATTACATTTTTAAAAAGTTAATATCCTAAAATACTCAGACTGATTTCCTACACAATGCTCTATAAATGTTTTCAGGGGTAAAAATTTACTTTTTATTAAACATTTTCTGCTTTCATTTTTATTTGGAACAGAAAGTGGGGAAAGTATCTACGATCAGTTTTTAAGATGTCATTGTTAATTAATCTTTTAATTTCTGCTTATTTTCTGCCTCTCAAAAATCATCTCTTCCCTATGTGTACCTGTTTTTTGTATGCAGTTTCAATGAATTTAAAAGGAAAGATGCCAACAAATAGGATAACATTGAGAAAGAAAGCTACTTATTAAAAAATGGAAATTGCCTACAAAAATACGCTTAGGTATAAAGAGAAAAATGGTTCCCTTATACATACCTACAAATACAAACAAATAGTCATGTGAGGCTGTTATTATTATTTTCTTAGGTGGGACTACATTAAAAAAGGAAAAACCATTCAAAAATCAGTTGTGGGGAAAAAAGGATAAATCATCTTTTAAATAAATGGTCATAATGGCTCTAGCTATTTTACAACCTGAGAAATTGCCGTTATATTTTATGAATTAAAAAAAGCAGTCTACACAATTGAATATATAGCATGAACAGTTTTCTTAAAAACTTAAAATTCAAGGCAGGCATTACATATACCCTAAAAGTAGAAAGAATATTCACCAAAGAGTTCATTGTGATTATTTTAGGGTGGTGGGATCACGATGATTTCTACTTTCTTCTTTTTGCTTATTTACTTTTTTCTAAATTTCCCAGAGTAAACATGTACTACTTTCATAATAGTGAAAATTCATTACTTTAAAAATGGAGAGATTCATCTCTGTTTCTTAAGAGATTTCACAGCTCAGATACTAAGTAGTTACATACTGGATACTTTAATTAGCCACAATAAATATTTTGGCCCCTTCAAACCCTGGAGAAAAACATAACTAAAAGAACCAAGCAGGGGAGAAGGTTTTCGCTGGACCACAGTGCAGCACAACACACATGGAATGTAGAATTACCATACCATCCAGCAATTCTACTGCTGCATATATATCCAAAAGAATTAAAAGCAGGACCTCAAATAGATATTTAGATACTCATGTTCATAACAGCATTATTCACAATGGCCAAAAGGTGGAAGCAACCCAAATGTCCACCAGTGGATGAATGGATAAACAAAATATGGCACTGTATATACAGACAATGGAATATTATTCCTCCTTAAGAAGGAAGAAACTTTTGACACATGGTACAATATGAATGAAACTTGAAGACATGACACTAAGTGAAATAAGCTAGTCACAAAAGGACAAATATAGTACCACTTATATGAGGTACCTAGAGTAGACAAACTTATAGAGACAGAAAGTAGAATGGTGGCTTAGGCCAGCCAACCTGCCTAATTTAACTGGATAACTATCAATTTGGAATGGTATGATCCATATATCTTTAGTTTATTTAGAAACTAAATTATATAAATTTAAGTTTTATATATAGCATTTTCACTTAAAATGTAAAGGAAAATTAAGGATCTTATTGTGGTTGTGTCATGTACTCTAGAAAGGTTGTTTCATGTACTCTAGCTGTATTTACACAAGCAATAACTATTAAACTCATCTTGTTAATAGTACTTGGTTCTATTCTCTTATAAGATAAACTAAATTTCTACAGTTGATAACCTCAAAAGTACCTTCCAATTCCCTGTAAATGCTACTGGGAAGAGTTTCCAATAGATGGTATAGTCTGCTGAATTCAATGCTTTCAATTTCCAGAAGATCAATTGTGGCTTTTCTCATTTCTTCCTGAAAATATAAATTACATTTTTAAAAAGTTAATATCCTAAAATACTCAGACTGATTTCCTACACAATGCTCTATAAATGTTTTCAGGGGTAAAAATTTACTTTTTATTAAACATTTTCTGCTTTCATTTTTATTTGGAACAGAAAGTGGGGAAAGTATCTACGATCAGTTTTTAAGATGTCATTGTTAATTAATCTTTTAATTTCTGCTTATTTTCTGCCTCTCAAAAATCATCTCTTCCCTATGTGTACCTGTTTTTTGTATGCAGTTTCAATGAATTTAAAAGGAAAGATGCCAACAAATAGGATAACATTGAGAAAGAAAGCTACTTATTAAAAAATGGAAATTGCCTACAAAAATACGCTTAGGTATAAAGAGAAAAATGGTTCCCTTATACATACCTACAAATACAAACAAATAGTCATGTGAGGCTGTTATTATTATTTTCTTAGGTGGGACTACATTAAAAAAGGAAAAACCATTCAAAAATCAGTTGTGGGGAAAAAAGGATAAATCATCTTTTAAATAAATGGTCATAATGGCTCTAGCTATTTTACAACCTGAGAAATTGCCGTTATATTTTATGAATTAAAAAAAGCAGTCTACACAATTGAATATATAGCATGAACAGTTTTCTTAAAAACTTAAAATTCAAGGCAGGCATTACATATACCCTAAAAGTAGAAAGAATATTCACCAAAGAGTTCATTGTGATTATTTTAGGGTGGTGGGATCACGATGATTTCTACTTTCTTCTTTTTGCTTATTTACTTTTTTCTAAATTTCCCAGAGTAAACATGTACTACTTTCATAATAGTGAAAATTCATTACTTTAAAAATGGAGAGATTCATCTCTGTTTCTTAAGAGATTTCACAGCTCAGATACTAAGTAGTTACATACTGGATACTTTAATTAGCCACAATAAATATTTTGGCCCCTTCAAACCCTGGAGAAAAACATAACTAAAAGAACCAAGCAGGGGAGAAGGTTTTCGCTGGACCACAGTGCAGCACAACACACATGAACTCTGTGTATAGATATGAGGGATCCTCCAAAGAGTTCATGGAAAGATTTTTCTTTTAATTCCATTTTTTCCACGAATGTGTTGAAGTACCCTCATAACTATTCAATTAAATGGGATTATGTAGTTACATAGCATATATACGTAAGTATATATAATTATACAAAATATAAAATATAAACATAATGAGATTAATTTTTATCAGCAGTCTGTAGACTTAAACTCATTTACTTTACAACTGTATTCTACATTTTTAGATATTTGATATGTAGTAGATTCTCATTCAATATTTTTAAATTAAGAGACTACCATTCTGCCGAGGAAGCACTGTAAACATCATCTAGGATGAAACAGAGACATGTCTGTGACACCTCAGAAGGGAATTCTTTAAATATTTCTTCAACATGTCTTTGGTAGGGGCCAGGTTAGTGTGACTGAAAGAGTTTCTGTTTTCACTAACAACATGGTCTACTTCAGTGAAGGTCAAATAATCCTTCACCAGTTATGTAAGGAATTGCTTACAGAGTTAATTGGCACCGTGCATGTAATTTATTCCAGAGATTGTCTGCTTGTTTGTTTGTTTTAAGCAATGCTCACATATCGCTGTCCAGAGCATTTGCCCATGTGGCCCACCCCTTAGCTGAGTTCTGTTCCACCCATATTGCTTTTCCTGAGTGTGCTTGCCCTCATCCATAGCACAGGCTCATAATTCAGTTTTCTGCAAGGAAAATTGGACAACAATCCACAGGTGATAATACTGGTGCAAATACTTACTAAATTAAGAGAAAAATACTTTTAAATTCAGGGTAAATATTTTCCTTATTCATCTATTTAAGCACCTTGAACAGAGTTGGTGCTAAATGAAAGTTTGATTAAGAAATAAGTGTAAGATTAAAAAACTAGTTCTTATAGATAATACAATACCAATTTCTTAACAGCTACAGCAATGTCTTTAAGAAAGATCTTAGCTTCTTCATTGCATTTAAAATAGTCACTTTGCAGCGATTGTTCTGAAAAAAAAATTATAAAATTAAAATCTGCTATTTATCTGTCCAAATCCTACTTACCCTGTTATGATCTACCTCAAATACTTATTCATCTGGAAGTTAAATCTTCTACCTCTGAATTTCTATAGTACTTTACATGAATCCTTTTATACTTACTATTTTCTATTTAATAGTATTCTAATTTAGGTATATATTTTATGGTCCTTGGGGACAAACTCATTAAGATTTAATATTTTTCATCTCTTACGTGCTTACAGAGTTAATTGGCACCGTGCATGTAATTTATTCCAGAGATTGTCTGCTTGTTTGTCTGTTTTCAGCAATGCTCACATATTGCTGTCCAGAGCATTTGCCCATGTGGCCCACCCCTTAGCTGATCTCTGTTCCACCCATATTGCTTTTCCTGAGTGTGCTTGCCCTCATCCATAGCACAGGCTCATAATTCAGTTTTCTGCAAGGAAAATTGGACAACAATCCACAGGTGATAATACTGGTGCAAATGCTTACTAAATTAAGAGAAAAATACTTTTAAATTCAGGGTAAATATTTTCCTTATTCATCTATTTAAGCACCTTGAACAGAGTTGGTGCTAAATGAAAGTTTGATTAAGAAATAAGTGTAAGATTAAAAAACTAGTTCTTATAGATAATACAATACCAATTTCTTAACAGCTACAGCAATGTCTTTAAGAAAAATCTTAGCTTCTTCATTGCATTTAAAATAGTCACTTTGCAGCGATTGTTCTGAAAAAAAAATAATTATAAAATTAAAATCTGCTATTTATCTGTCCAAATCCTACTTACCCTGTTATGATCTACCTCAAATACTTATTTATCTGGAAGTTAAATCTTCTACCTCTGAATTTCTATAGTACTTTACACGAATCCTTTTATACTTACTATTTTCTATTTAATAGTATTCTAATTTAGGTATATATTTTATGGTCCTTGAGGACAAACTCATTAAGATTTAATATTTTTCATCTCTTACATTAGAAAGAAGGGATCTGTATAGGATAGGACCAAAAACTCATAAATATTTATAAAGGGATGNTGTCTGTTTTCAGCAATGCTCACATATTGCTGTCCAGAGCATTTGCCCATGTGGCCCACCCCTTAGCTGATCTCTGTTCCACCCATATTGCTTTTCCTGAGTGTGCTTGCCCTCATCCATAGCACAGGCTCATAATTCAGTTTTCTGCAAGGAAAATTGGACAACAATCCACAGGTGATAATACTGGTGCAAATACTTACTAAATTAAGAGAAAAATACTTTTAAATTCAGGGTAAATAGTTTCCTTATTCATCTATTTAAGCACCTTGAACAGAGTTGGTGCTAAATGAAAGTTTGATTAAGAAATAAGTGTAAGATTAAAAAACTAGTTCTTATAGATAATACAATACCAATTTCTTAACAGCTACAGCAATGTCTTTAAGAAAGATCTTAGCTTCTTCATTGCATTTAAAATAGTCACTTTGCAGCGATTGTTCTGAAAAAAAAATTATAAAATTAAAATCTGCTATTTATCTGTCCAAATCCTACTTACCCTGTTATGATCTACCTCAAATACTTATTCATCTGGAAGTTAAATCTTCTACCTCTGAATTTCTATAGTACTTTACATGAATCCTTTTATACTTACTATTTTCTATTTAATAGTATTCTAATTTAGGTATATATTTTATGGTCCTTGGGGACAAACTCATTAAGATTTAATATTTTTCATCTCTTACGTTAGAAAGAAGGGATCTGTATAGGATAGGACCAAAAACTCATAAATATTTATAAAGGGATGTCTAACATGTCTATAATGTAGGTTTGATTAAGAATGGTTTCATATGTATACATATATACTAAATACAATATTTAGTCAAAAAACACACATTGAATTAACTGTTAAAAAAATCCATCATGTCATTTACTTCTGTAAAATATCTGAAACATGCAATGAGATTAAATATTTGTAAAACTGGTAGGTGTGAAGTACACAGAGTTTCTATCCCTTTTCATTCATGGAAATACTTTCTCATGTCTCCTTTTCTCTCACGCACTGTAAGTAGAAATAACCTGAGAAGAGAGGCTTGGGAAACAATGGCAAAGGTAATGCAGACAAGATACATACAGAATAGGAAAAAGAAAGGATAAAAGAAGAGAAGAGGAAGCTCTACTGACCTTGGCTTTGTCACCACTGCACTACAAGGACTGTGTCTAAATGGATCTCCGGCCTGCATCTTCATGTGTGAGATGGGTTTGATGTGATTAATGTTTTACATGTGTTATTTAAATGACTCCTCTGACCTTACGATGATTCATTTTACAGGTGAGAAATCTGACTTCTGAGGTCATATCACATGTGCAAAGTCACAGTCCTAATCAGGGCTAGAGCCCAGGTCATCCCCAGTGGTGTGACTCTGGCTTGGGGCCCATGCTCTCACTGGCCATACCCGTCTCTCAAGGCAGTAAACAGCAATATCTGGCTTCAGTTCCAGGCTTGGACTCTCTCTTACCAAACTAAGATTTCAAACCAAGTGAACACCAGGTAGTGAGTCTGCAAGCAAGCGTTGTAGAGAGACACCGGCATTGCTTGCTTTCTCCTTTCTTTTATTTTTAATGAAGTGAATGAGCACAAGCTTGTTTCTGTTTGTAAATGGGCTGGATAGCTATTTTATAACTCACATTCAGAACAAGAAGGCTTAATGGTTTTTTCCTACAAAATCTTTCTGAGGATCCAGACACTATTAGCAGAAAAAGTATTTGCATCTAAGTACTAGGGTTGAATGGATGTGCTGATCTGGAGATTAAGCATGAAAAAAGGTCAAGACCCTAGCTCAATCACTGGCATTAACTTCAGGTGCAGGTGAATAATTTAGGTCTCTTTGGTGGTTAACATTCTTCATGATCATGCTTGTCCTAGCCTATCTGAGTAGAATTGTGAAATTAAATTAGTTCATCTAAGAAGGAAAAAAAGAAACTATCCCAAACTAACAGAAACATTGTAACAGAAATGCATGTGATTATCTTAAAGCAATGAGATGATTATAGTGAAGCAATGAGATGCTTTGTTTGACCTAACTGGTTTTTGTGCTGAACAAGAAATGCACTTTCTTGGACTATGTCTTCCCATAAACTTAGGTGACAACTATAGGTTCAGCTTTCTAACTAAGAAGGTATTTAAACCAGGCTCCATCCAAGGTCATTTTTTTGTTTGAACCTCCTAAACATCCTTTTAAATCTAATTTTCTTTGCCTTGTACAGCACAAGCCTCTTAATCATTCCCTTTCCTATTTGCATGTTAAACTCTCCAATTTGCCATGGCAAAATGGGGGAGGAAATTAACTTGCTAAGGAAGGACAGGAAGAGACAACTGAAATCGAATGCATAATCTAAATGCAGGTGGGAACGCAGATCACGGCCAAAGGGCCGTAGCCTTAGTCTGGGATTTGTCACCAGCTACTAATGTGAGGTAGGCCAAGTCACTAGCTACATTATTGCAGGAGAGCTGGCCGCTTGGTCCCACCCCGCCGCTATCTCCCCAGCCTCCAAGCAGCGAAGAAGGCTCTGCCCTGGCCAGTGATGCTCTGGGTTCCGGGAAGAGGTCTCCGCTGAGGGCTTCTGCTGAGCGCCGCCTACTCGCCACCTCCGAGAGATGTCCCTCCGGGCGTCCGGGGGGCCTCTCACCCACAACGATGAGCTGCTCCAGCGCGGCGGTCGCGACCGCGGAGCCCAGGGTAGAGGGGAAGGTGCATAACTCCAGGGACGGGCCGGTGGAGACGGCGGCCTCCCGCACCATCTCGACGAACCCCAGCTCTGGGGTCCAGGAGCCCAGGGCCATCTGGCTGCTCCTGCGAGGAGCCTCCGAGGCCAGAGCCAAGGACTGCCGGTTGCCACGGACAACGAGGACGCCGAGGTCCCCGGGCGCTCCCTCGTGGCCCACAGTTGGGGTGGGTACTTACCTGGTTCTCTAACTTATCCGCAATAACTAAGCGGTCCTGGTAGAATGACTCCCTCCTTTGCCGTCTCTTCCCCCTTCCCCTTTCTTAAGTTCAGGCCTCGTACCTTTCTGGTGGACCACTGGAATCAATCACTTTTGAACGCGACTCTGCGGGGTACTACAGGAGCGCCTTTAGATAAAGCAACTCACTCAATCTTCGTTACTTATTATCTCCACTTTTACAGACAAGTAAACAGGGGCGGATGATTAAGTGAATTAACTGCCCAAGGCCACAAGAAGATGATACTGGATATTAAGGGGATCCTGCATGAATCTACTATGCTACAAAACCCGCGTCTTGTGTTCTTTTGGAACTTTGTATCTTATCACTGAGCACTTTTTGCCTTGAATCATAGTGATTTTCCTTTGTCTGTCAGGGACAGGATATTATGTACTTTTCTCTATGTCTCCAAAATCCAGCCCAGCTTCAGACTCAGTGTGAGTGTAACCGTGAGTTCCCTTTCCTCTGGCTGGTTAGAGAGAAATGAGGGCGATTTAACCCTCCTCTTAACTTTTCTTTACAGATTGCAAAATTGAAATCAGAATGATTGAAACAGTAACAATAGCTATTAACTGTTGAATGATTGTTTCAGGCACTGTTCTAAATACTTTGCCGTGCCCCATTTAACCTTTATAATAATCCTTTGAGGTAGGTATTATTGCCCACTTTGCAAATGAGGACACTGAGCTATGCCCTGAACCACTGTGCTACACTGCTTTGGAGGGGCCACAGTATGTCAATAGCAGAATTTTAGATCCAGGCCTCCTCCGTTCAGGGAGAGCCTTATTCTGGCCTTGGACACTGTCCTGGATCCCCTTTTTTGCTGGGCTTGTTCTATCGGTATTCAGATTTGTTTCTCCCCTTCTGTGCTCTCTTCTCTGCGTGGCAGGAGCAAGAAGCCTGAAAACTACATCTCCCAATCGCCCTCATAGCTGGTTTCTGGGTAATTCCACCAGTGGGAGACGCTGATGGGAGATTAGAAGGCCAAGAAACCATTCTGTTTCTGTCTCCTGGAGTGGTAGTTTTGGGCCACAGTTCACTGCAGATCCCAGCAATTTTGGTGGCTCCAGAGGTGGCAAGAGTGGGAGCCAGTGCCTCCAGCAGTCTCCAGCTGCTCAGCACTAAGTATGGGCATGTGGGCACAGTACAGGGGTTGTGGCAGCTCTTTGATCTCTGGGATCTTCTTTACTCACTTCCCCTTTGGCTTCTGTAGCCCCCTTATCACATTCCCTGTGATAAATTCCTCTCTTCTAGAAATACCTAGACTGGGCTACTACAAGCCAACCTTTATACTGTCACCAGAATATTCTTCCTACTTATCACCCCATCTGGATTACGTTGCTGTCCATTGTCTATGAATAAAGGAGAATCTCTAAGGGGACATTTGCTGTTACTGTGTTTGTTATAGAATTTCTGGATTTTTATGTCTGTCTATTTCCCTTCTTGTCCCTAATTCTTTCTTTTCCCTAAACATGCTTTGTGAGAAATGTCCAGCTTCTATCTTGTCTCATGGGTTTTTTCTCTTTGTTTTGTTTTGTTTTATATAGGATGCCTCTTACAAAATTCAACCTACTCTTTTCAAAAGGAAAGGAACTTTATTAATTCTCAAATAGAAACCTGGGAAAACAACATGAGCAAGCACTTCATAAAAGAAAAAAAAATCCCAAGAAACATAATGAAAGGACATTTACCCTCGTTAGCATTCAAAGAAAGAACAATACACCCATTTTCCTTGTTGTATTATAAAAATTAAAAAGAATGGGCTGACCCCGTGGCTCACTCGAGAGAGTGCGGCGCTGGGAGTGCTGAGACCACAGGTTCGGATCCTATATAAGGATGGCCAGTGCGCTCACTGGCTGAGCGTGGTGCGGGTGACACCAAGCCAAGGATTGCAATCCCCTTACCGGTCACAAAAGGAAGAAAAAAAAAATTAAAAAGAGTAATAATTCAAGTGTTGACACTAAGAATGTGTATCTGGAGGACAATTTGGACATTTGTAGAAGGAGCCTTGGGATACAGTAATACTTCTAAGAATTGTTCATAAGAGATAATCACAGGTGTGACCAAGGACATAGGTATCAGCTTGTTCACTGCAGTTCTATTTTAAATAGTAAAAAATAACAAACAGCCTCAATGATCTATAGTAAGACACTGTTTTTAAGTAACCTATGGGACATTGGGCAGAAGCACCACATGACCTCCAGAATGGTAAGCTCTGGTGGATTTAGATGAGTTCCACTAGTTACTGGATGGAATGTCTCTTGAACAAGTTAGCCTCTCCATTAATGCCACCGTGTCCTAGCTCCAAAGAGGTGCTGGTGGTAACAGCAGCTCTTAGTTCATATGATTGTCATAAGGGTTAAATTAAGTGAGCACTTAAGGCTGTGCTTGACACACGGTAGATACTCAAAAAATGCTATCTTATGGTAAAATAATAATGTGGTAGCTATGAAAAATAATGGATAGGAATTTCCATGCACATATAAACACAGACACACATATATGCACATTCAATGTGGGAAAAGCAAGTAGCAAAAGAAAGGTATAGTATTTAATTAATATTCAATTTTTACACATCCATATACCTATATAGATGTATATATATATATATGTATAGAAAATGGTGTGGGAAGAATAGTTAACTAAAATGTTAACTGTGGTTATTTCTGGTTAGTGAAATGACAGATGTGATAGGTAAAATAACGCCTCCCCAAAATGTCCACACCCTAATCCCTGGAACCTGTAAATACGTAGGTTACCTGGTAAGAGGTAATTAAGGTTGCAGATTGAATTAAGGTTGCTAATCAGCAGACCTTCAGATGGAGAAAGTAGCCTAGACTATCCAGGTGAGTCCATTGTAATCACAACGTCCTTATAAATGAAAGAGGGAGGCAGGGAAGTCAGAATCAAAGTCCGAGATTTTTTTTTTTTTTTTAAAGATGACTGGTAAGGGGATCTTAACCCTTGACTTGGTGTTGTCAGCACCATACTCTCCCAAGTGAGCTAACTGGCCATCCCTATATAGGGATCTGAACCTGTGGCCTTGGTGTTATCAGCACCACACTCTCCCAAGTGAGCCACAGGCTGGCCCAAAGTCAGAGATTTGAAGGTGCTACACTGCTGGCTTTGAAGATGGAGGAAGGGGGCCCCGAACCAAGGAATGCAGGTGGTTTCTAGAAACTGGGAAAGGCAAGGAAAAGATTCTCCGTTAGAGCCTTCAGAAGGAACACAGCCTTGCCGACACCTTGATTTTAGCCCAGTGAGATCCATTTTGAACTTCTGACTTCCAGAATGGTAAGATAATAAATGTGTATAATTTCAAGCCACTAAGATTGTGTTAATCTGTTACAGCAGCAATAGGAAACTAATACAATGGGATGTGTTGTTTTTTCTTTATAATATTTTTGGTTTTGAATGTTTAGTCATAAGTATGTATATCTTTGTAATTAGAAAAAAAGGAAAGCTTTTTATTCTAAAAAATACTTAGGAAAATAAATAAAATATACAAATTTAAAAGAGTTAAACATATTTTAAAAAGCTTTCTTATACTTCAGTATGTACAGATGGTATTCACCGGGCAAAAAGCCATGTCCTTTTCTCTGATGCATCTTTTTACTTTGGTGACATAGATACATTCCTCTTCCAGTCAGCAGTTTTAAGGCAGACATTTGCTCAATGGCCAGGATGACATATTAGAGTCCTCCAGTCCTATGTTGACATTGGTTTTTCATTATAATAAGCAAGTTCCTTTTTATTTACCCCTTGCTGCTGACAGAGCCAGGAGAACCCAACTGCTCCATGGAGTTTGACCCCCTAAATTGCACAGGAATGTATATGCTCATGTATTCAGGCATGTTTGCAGTCTCCACTGTATGTGAGGTCTATATGGTATGTGATGTGTCATTGCTCTTACAGCTGCCTCTTCGCATAAATCTAGCACCTCTAGGGAAAACCTAAACTTCTTGGGTGTGTTTCCTGATCCTGGTTAGACAAGGTAAAGGTCCCACTCTTGGTAGATGTGTCAAACATCTCACATATAGAAAGTGGGGCATGCTTCAGTGCTTTGTGTTAGTTTATCAGAATCCATGATGCTTCAGTACTGGACTGTGCTCAAATCCTCCTGGGAAGTAAGAATTCTAGCAAATTTAGTCTCTTTCTTCCTCACTCCTGGCCCTATAAGTGCCAAACACAGGGCCTAACATCTGGCACATGGCCCCACTTCCCCATCTGTGTTTGATTGATGGCTGTTTTTTGTCATTTCATGTTGTCATTTCATCCTCTGGCTTGTCGACTGATGGTCGCAGATGGCTACTGCAGCCCCAGACATCCTGCCCTTGTACAAAGTGGGGAGAAGTGGAACAAAGCCACATGTGGAAGCCCCTCTTCCCTTTACTCAGGGAAGAACATCTTCCCAGTGTCTCCAGACACACCTCCTTTTGTGTCTCAGTGGCCACTGCCAGGTCATGAGGCCACCTATGAAAGGGGGCTAGGACAGTGAGCGTCTGGTCACAGAAGAGGGTTCAGAAGAGCTGGAAAATTTCTCAAGGAATGTCAGCCATACATACATTCTCCAAACAAATATTTGTCAGCATCAACTCCAGGCCCAAACCAGCTGGCTGGGTGGATCTTTCCTAGGGGCTGCAAAGGAATTAGCGAAGCTTCTGGCATTAAATAGAAAGGGTGTGTTGGTCTTCCTCCACTGTGTAATGGTAGGATCTCCCCAGTTCAAGCCTTCAAACTGGCTTTATGCCTCAAAGGTCTGCAAAGTGTTTATACACTAGACAGATTCTCTACCCCTTGGGCTTCTCACAGCTCCTAAACTGCCTGTCATGTGGTCAGG